CACACACACACAGGCGGATATTGGCAGAAAGAGAGGTAGAATGGCAGCAGGACGTGACACACTCTTGATGGGAACACTGTCCTATATGTTGTAAGTGTGTAATACACTACTGCTGTTCCACAACTCGTAACTTACCAAACCGGCTGTTTCTGTGTGTTCATAACGGTATGAATCACAAATGATTTATGCTTTCTGCAAGTCTGTGTGACTGTAAGAGGTTTATAAAGCTCCTGTTAGCTGATTTGAGTCTTTGACTGTATGTGCTAGTACTCATTTTCACCCCGTTTCGTCTGCAGTTTTCATAATAAGACTGAGCTATCAGTAATCTCTGTAAATGAGTAACAATGTCTGGCGCGGCGTCAGAGAAGGGTTGTTGTCATAAAAACATGATAGCTGACTTGAGAAACACAGAGGACGTTTGATATGAGCGAGCTAGAGCACTAGATTTAGGCATGTGCAGAAAGTGTCCTGTTCTTCTGTCATATGCTAAATCAGCGGGGCTATTTAATCTTACGAAAAGTACTGAACATGGTTCAGTGATGGAACTATATGGTACTTTCATGTGTAACACTTGAATGATCATCATTTTCGCATATCATATTCATATAACCTTCTTATTCATATATCATGATCATATGCAGAAGTATTCATATAATACTAAAAAAGAAAGTGTCATATAAATACTTTTTAAATGAAAGTCTGTGATCAAAATGAAAATTTGGCATTCATAATCCTAATTTGAAATAATGTCACAAAAAGTATTTCATAAGTTTGTAACAAAACGATGTGTTCAAATGGAAGATGTACTAGAAAACATGTAAAACATGTATTTGGGTGGGATTTCATGCAGTCACTTTCTCTGTATTGAAAAAAAAAAGTCATTTAGAAAAATATTCTATGTGTCTAGTCTATGTGCATTATCACTAGTGGTCACAGACTTTTGAATCTCACTGTTTGTGTGTGTGTGTCATTTACAGTACTAATAAAGTTGTGCATTTGTGTTTGAGTTGTAACATGTATATAATGATCCTCTGTTCTAGGTGGATGCACCTTCGATGATGGCCCCGCACAATGCGACTACCAGCAGGATCCTTACGACGACTTCGACTGGACACACGTCAGCGCTCAAGAAGTGCCATACCTGCCCTCTGATCTGCCCCAGGGTGAGTCCATCAGACACGCTTGCTCATAGCTGGACTAAACTAGATTTGGACTCCACTACGCGCAGTAACGTCCTCGCTAACCTCACGGTTGGAGAATCTGAGGCAAGTGGGGCAAGTCTCCAATTTGAAAGAGCACAGAGTGAGAGTGAAAATGCATGGTTTTATCTGCCCTTGGGCTTGTTTAAACAGTAAGGCAGATTTAGGAATGTTTTAATGGGCTGCTAACATTGAACAAATTTGCAGCGCCGTCTTATCGTGTCAGGGTAAAAGCCATTACTGAAGAACTGAAGAAGTTGAGAGAAAATAGGCAGGTAACAGAACATTAATCTTCTTTAAACTGCTGTTCCCACTCTCTGAACACTCCTCGGTTGGGATCTGAAAATACTTTTCCATTTACATGACAAAACGTGTGAAGTGCCGGAGGGGGAAAAAAGGCTTTGGTCAAAGGACTGTCATACGTGACACAATTAAACTTTTTAAATGTGCTGAAAGAAGATGCGAACAAGAGGGGAGAGTGGAGCGTTGCGACCTTCACTTTTCACCTCTCCGATGCTTAATCACTCGTTTTCAGACAGGAGATTCTGCTCAGGGAAATTAAAGCATTTCACTCTCAGCTAAATTCCCTAATTAATTAGATATTAAGTTATTAATCAAGGCAGGAGAACAGAGAAGGTCGTCAGCCCTTGCTTTCAGTCAGGTAGGGTTTCACTAGAAGAGGACCTGAAGGAGAACATTGCAGTTTTTATGATAATAGCTGTTGCATCTCGCTTGAGGCGCCTGGGTAACTAACACCTTTAAGCAAATGAATTGAACAAAATGATAATTTGATGTTTTGTCATTTTTTGCTGCATTTAGAAGGCATGCATTCATTAAGGTTGATTTCTCACTGTGTTTGCTGGTGTGCTTGTGTGTGAGCAGCTGGCCTCGTGGGCTGCAGTCTCTCGCTACATTCACTTGAGAACACCATTTAGGGGACTCTCATCAGACTTGTCTCTCATGGAAAGTTGACTAAGATGGGACGTTTGGATGTCTTCATTTTGATATTAAACAATCAACAGAAGTGCTTTTTCTGCAGAAAAACACAGGGATAAGAGTAGAAAGGTGAACAAAAATAGGGGAAAGAGAAAAGGATGGAAAGGACAAAGAGACATAAAGGTGGAAAAATGGACAGGAAAATGCACAAATGTGTTAAAAAAGACGATGAGACAGAGATGGACAGTAAGAGACAGTAAGATAAGAAGATGGAGATAGACGGGGAAGAGGGAAGAAGAGGGAGAGAGAGATGGACGGAAAGAGACAGAAATGTGGATAAAATGGACAGGAAAAGACATAAATGTGGACAGAGGGATGGATAGGAAGAGAGACAAATGTGGACAAAAAGGGAAATAAGAATGAGACAAAATGATGGACAGGAACAACAGAAATGTGGATAGAAAGATAAATAGGGGAAGAGAGAAGGATGGAAAGGGAAAAGACAGAGAGAAAGAAAGAGACAGAAATGTGGACAAAAATGGACATGAAAAAACAACTGGATAGAGAGATGGACTGGAAAAGAGAGGGAGATGGACAAGAAGAGACAAATGTGGACAAAAAGATATGCAGGAGTAGATAGAACAAGACAAAAAGATGGACAGGAACATCTCAGAAGTGGATAAAAAAGAGGGATGAATGGAAAGAGAATATACAAAGATGGACAGGAAAAGGGAAATGTAGACATAAAATGGACAGGAAAAGACAAAAATATGAACACGAAACAAAGGGAATTATAGAAGGGAAAATAGAGATAGATGGACAGCAAGAGACAGAAATGTGGACAGAAAGATAGACAGCAAAGAAGAGAAGGGTGGAAAGGGAAAAGAAAGAGATGAACAGAAATGTGGACCAAAAATGGACAGGAAAAGACAAAGATAGACTGCAAAAGAGAGAAGAATGGAAAGGGAAAGAGACAGGTAGAGACAGAAATGTGGATAGAAAGATAGACTGGAAAAGAGGGAAGGATGGAAAGGGAGAAGACAAAGAGATGGACAGAGGAAGACAAATGTGGACTAAAAATGATCATTAGTTTATATTGGTTTATTATCGGTTGATGTGCATGAGGTTCATTATGGTCCATTCCTGCACTCTCTGCAAGAAGAAAATGTTTCATAAAGTGACGCAAACATGTTTGCATGATGTGTTTTTGCCATAATTACAAACATTAAGTGACGCTAGCTGCATGGCTTGATGTCTCAGTGCTTGAGGGAGTCGTGTGGACTGTGCGGCTGAGTGACTCACTGTAACGGTAAGTGAGCACAAGGCCTGGAGAGGATTCTCTACACCTACAGGGATACATTTTGAGTTACGGTGGATTAGCACAGACACATTAGATGCTAGTTTTGTTTTTTTGTATCATTCTGCCTGAAGGGGTGTTCACACTGATAGCATTTTGCAGTAAAAAAGCAACCGGAAGTTGCTCGTTCTCGTTTTAAAGTGACATAGCCGACAGCGATTGTCAGAAATGCACAGAGTTGCAAATGAGGAGTTGATCTACTGGTGACTACCAATGGGAGTGCAGACACTGAAGCTCATGTGATCCACCTCCTGATAGTTTCTTACTGATGTTTAGTGGCTTTAAATTAGGGCTGTGCGATAAATCGAAATCGTCATAAAATCGCGATTTGAGCATGCGCGATTTCTAAATCGCTTTACAGTAGGGCTGCACGATAAATCGCATGCGATATTTAATGCGCATCTTGTCAGAAAGCCGGTTCTGTAATCAGCGGTAAATCTCCATCACCTGCGTGCTTTCACATTGAGCCGCATTAACTACACAGAGCCGTTGTTCACTGACGAGCTGCGCAAAAAATCGCACGAATATGGACGTGGTTTTGCGCAGCTCGTCAGTGAACAATGGCTCTGTGTAGTTAATGCTGCTCAATGTGAAAGCACGCACGTGATGGAGATTTACCGCTGATTACAGAACCGGCTTTACTGATAAGATGCGCGTTAAACATCGCATGCGATTTATCGTGCAGCCCTACTTTACAGTACAATTTTCCGCGCCCCCGACCTCCCGCAGTATGCTATCCGAACCAATCAGAATGCAGCGCTCCTAAATGGAGCACGAGAACAGAACAGACCAGCCGGGCATTCAAACGTAACACCAGGTTCACACACTCTGTCTGTGGTGTGGATTTTGTCCGCGCCCATGTTAACGGATCAGAGCGTTCACACTGCATGCGATAGCGGTCCGGCAGTACGCTCCAGGAGCGGTGCGTCTGCAGCAGTCATGCTGCGATCGTTTCCGCACGGAGTCTATTTCTGCTGTGCTGCACGCGCTGAATTAAAGTGACAGCGCATTAATCGCGGTAAAAATTAACATGGATTGACACGAAAATTTAGTAATTACACCATAAATGCATATAATTAAAGTCTACTGTTTCACAGTCAAAAACAGCCGCGGATCAGGAGCGGACTGCAAACGCAATAGGTTTTTTTTGTCCATATCGCACAGCCCTACTTTAAATCTACTAGCAGTACTTTTGATTTGCAGGTTATGGATTTAGGAAAAGATTTGATTTGATTGATTTTAATTAAAAATAGTAAATGCACCTTAATGGTGAAATTATTGTCGGACAGTTTCTCATATTCTTTATTAATCATTCTACCCAGAAGACACGCAAGCTCAGTACTGGAGGGGTGTTCGGTGAGGTCCGATGGTGTTGGCTTTGGGGAGCATGTGAATGGCATGAAGGTTACTGCAGTGCACACTTAGCGCTGGGAGTAACCCTGACATGAGCGTATGAATGCCGTTTCACACAGCACTCCCTCATGCACCCTACTCTCTGCTTTATTTCACTGTCATATTCTGCACATCCCACACAGAGCTCGGAGTCCATACTTTTAGCAGTTTATGGGAAATTATTTTGCCAAATTACATCTACACCGCAGTCAGATAATCGCATGGAAGAAGTAGTTGACTACACTGCAAACATTTGCTAAGAAATAGCGTAATAGCATAATCTACATTGAGACTAATTTTGAGGGGTGTGTATGATGTGTGCAATGAGAATGTGGAACGTCTCTGCTGTTTTTTCATCGATAGTCTGCATAGACCGGAATCAGACATATTTAAAGGGGTCATGAATTGAGAAATCAACTTTTACTTGAGCTTTTGATATATAAGAGATCATCGTACTAAATTAATAGCCTATTAATTATTGATTTTGATGTTTTTGAATGTAAAAACCACGCGAACGTCATAAGTGGACCTCAGACAACAGTAAAATAATTTTTTTATTACCCCTTTAATGTTAGGCTGTTGAATCTTGTCTCACTGTACTGAAAATGATAACGTACATTATTTGGTTTTATTCAAGTCAAAATATTATTTAATATCACTGAATATAACTAAATCAATAGATTTATATCAACAAAACAAGATTTATGCATTAAAAAAATAGGTAGAAATACTGTGTGTTTTTGTGGTTTGAGCATTGCATTTCTAAGATGTTAAGTACTTGGAACAAAGTTAGATATTTATAGACATTCCTACTTAAGGAGGCAGTAGCTTTTTAATTATATTTGATACAATTTATAAAAAATAAAAATAAAAAAAAGGATGATCTCAGTTATGTTGACAGTACATTAACAAAAATTCCCACTAAATACAGGACCCTAATTTATACAAAAGTGATAAACAGCAGAATTTACAATTCATAATTATATAAGAAAATTATTTTTAATTTTAAGGACACAACTTCTGTGAACACTATTGAGTGATAACTCAAATCAGTGGTTTTTGAAATAGTCTGAGCAAATTTACATAAGGCTACACGTGATACGACGTTTTGTAATTTGTAACTTTTTACTGGATAATGTAGCACAAGATTCATTGTTTTTAAAATCTTTAAATGTGAAATTTTGTAAACTACAAAACTGTCTGGCTCCTGGTTTGTAGTGCAGGTGGCTCTGAATGACTGGTTATGTGCTTTTGAAGGTCTTGAGTTACTGTGAGCGTGTGAAGATCGCTGGGAAGGACAGTGACAGAGCTTTCCGCTCTACATCTCTTGGCCAGTGTTAGCCTGACAAAAGAGACTGCTCCCGTTAATGTGGGTCACTGCCATGAAGGAGAGCGCGCCGCACCGGCCTGTAACACGAGAGCGCTCTTAAAGAAGCCCAGCAGTTTGGACTGATGTGTGCTGTGTGTTTGAGTGCTGCAGAGGTGGCATAGGCAGTTTGTGATTCGGCTGTTAGCGCGGATCGGTCGCGTTAGTGTTGTGGGAAGTGTGACAGCCATCTTGAGTGTCTTCTCTCAGCCATCTTGTTGAGAGTGTTGTGACAGCGTCAATGTTACTCCGAAATAGTGTTTGGATAACCGCTGACGCCTCTCATCTACTTCATCAGCCTTATTTAGATAATGACTACTATGCATTTCAATTCTGTCAGTTTTACTCGATGAAATTCTTCACATTTGTAGCAGTTTATGCCAAAAAACGCTGCTGTGAAATCATAATAAATAAGTGCAAGATCTCCTTCTGTCAGTATAAGAAGCTTCCAGAATTGGTTGTTTTGTTTGCACATTTTATTGTAATAGCGGTAACCCTGGTATTATGGTAAAATGGTAATTAAAGCTGCGTTTAATGCCACAAAATGGCTCGTTATGAATGCATTTAATTTGTAGGGGTTTTATTGTGCAGTTTTTTCCTCCGGTGAAGGTTGAGCGTTTTCTCTGAGCAGCAGATGAGCTCCGGGGCCGGAGCAGCAGGGATCTGAATGTGAATGCCCGCATTTTACATCCCTGCCAAAAACCCAACAGCCCATTTCAGTTATTCACATTTCATGAGCAATCAAAGAGAGCTCGGATGGGGTGTGTTTGACAGGCCTGTTTCCTCTCTGGATGTTCAGAGATAACAGATCAGCTTATATTTTCAGACAACTGCTCATTTAAGCTGTGCCTTTGGTCGTTCAGTGGAATCTAATGGAGCTTCACTTTAAGGCCCCTGTAGAATTACAGGATGTAGAATCAAAGTTAAATGAATCGCAATGAAATGCAAAACTGCCGTAAGTGTGATTTTCAATAAAACATGAGGTTTCATTAATAATCAGTCCCGTCACTGCAAATGTGCATTTAAATACGTTTGTTGTTTAGGTTTTGTCTCAGATTGTTTGAACTGCATCTATACAAACTTAGCCAATTACAGCAGAGCTCATTTACATATTTCAGAAATCTTAAAGGTTTTGTAGCAAAAAAACAAGCTCATTTGTTCATATACGCTAAATATTGTGCAAGAACCTCGACTAACATTATTAGTGGATTTCAAGTAGTGGTCGACCGATATATCGGCCGATATTTGGCATTTTTCAAATATCGGCATCGGCCGATAAGTTTTTCCTGTTTGGCCGATGCGTTCGAGGCGGGACTTTTATTTTTGGCCGATGTGTTCGAGACTTTTATTTTGACGGCGCTGAGAATGGCAGCCGGAGAGCACACCGCTCACATTCTCCCTCTTGTTCGCTGTCGTCATTCAGTTCTGTCTAATATTGGTATAAGCCTATCTAATAATCAGATAGAACTGTTAAACAAATGAATTAAAATGTATACAAAAAAGTATTATAACGATTGCTTTAATATTATTAGTAATAGAAAGGCAAACATTATAATACTTTCTCGTTTGCCGTCAGCATTCAGCAAAAACGCATTTATATAATTTAAACAAATCTTTGAATGACTAATGAACATTTAATTTCACAAACCTTGCAGACTTAGTCGAATCTAGTTGAGATCTTGTGAAGTGTGCATTTGTATCCTGCATGATCGCGTGTTCTCTGCGTGACGGTCGGTCCGTGTGAATTTAATACGGACAGGAGGAGAGTTCAGCTTCACTGGAGCGCGATCGACAAACTTTAAACTCGTGATTTCAAATTATGCTGCACTTTATGCAGTTGCCCACTGCCATATTCACGTTATTTTAATTGCGTGCTGTATGTAAAATGAGTGTTACCTTGGCTTTATTTGAAAAAAAAAAAAATGATTCACACAAACTTCCCAGAATACTGAGTGCCCTGTTGGTTACAGTGTTTACTTCCTTTTTAATTAGATTTTTATTAAATATTTATTTATTTGTGAAAAATGCTTTGTCTTCTAAAGTATAAGTATGTTTATTTTACACAATTATTTTAAATCCATTT